AAACAGATTTTTTTTACAATAGTATGGGGCTCTCCGGAAATTTTACCTAAATTTAAGCTAGGAAGGACCACAATGCAGACGTTTGAACCTACCTTAGGTTGTCGATTTAATATCTTTTCGCCTCCAAGTTTCTCTCGCTTGAACTGCGACTCTTTCCGGGCGAGTTCAGCTTTTAAGTCTACAATCTGAGAGAAAGCTATTTCTATCAGATTGCATCACGGAAAAATAAATAGTTCAGGTGAAATGTGAAACACATAACACTTACCGAAGCTTCATTCACGTCGAAAACTCGTTTGGCCGCCATATTATTTTTGAAAGCGCGCCGCTGCCCTATAAATACTTTTGGCGGGCTCAATAGGGTAAATACTTCATGTAACATCATACGTTGACCGACATTAAGGAAAGAGACTAGATCAAGGGGAAAGAGGCACATGCCGTCTGCCCTCCTCCCTCCTTGATCTGTTATGTGCTTTTGCTTCGTTCAGAAAGCGGAGTGAAGAGGCTCTTATGGGCACCAGAACCTAACTTTGGGCCATTGAGGAATATTTGAGCTGGCACCTAACGAGTGATCAAGCTACCAAAGTCTTCAAGTTATCTTTGATATGAGAATAATCTGTAATGAAGCACTTGACTTTAACATACTCATGTCGATCAGCAATTGATAAAAATCAAGCTAAACCTGCCACTACGGTAAAGACACAAAAAAACATTTCATCTGGGGAAAATTTCGTGAAAATATTAGGCCCAATCTGTTTCATCCACATTACATACGTGCCAATAGTTCTATGAAATATCCTGAATTGATAGCTTCTTAACCTACCAGTACTTTTGCAATAGAAAGGGATACTGTGATAGGTTGTCCGATCTCCGACCGAGACGGAAGACGTTTTTTCTATTTACGTTGCACATTAGTTGGGCTGAATAGCAACTGATTTTCGCAAGGTGTCATAAGTAAAACTGGTGACCCCTTTCGTTTTGAATAATCTCTCTATAACTTGAGATTTGACCACAGTCAACTGTTTACCAAACTTTCTAATCTCTGATTTCCATGAAACTAGAATTGTGCAATATCATGCTCAGTTTTGAGTGTCACCATTTTCCTTTGATACATTACATGCAGTAAATGCAGGTCTCGGTTTTGCTATGATTACATTCCATTTACATGATAGAATAAAAGGGAAGCATTTCTGTCTGATTCTTTAATTTTTCTATTCTCTGATGGAACCAAGTGTAAAAACAAATAAATGAAGTAAAAATTTTACGATCTATGCATGTAACCGTGTGAAAAATAAACAACAATTTGTAGGAACTTGAACGAGTTCTAATGTCCCCTTTGTAGAGTAACCTGTTCCGGTGTGTTCTTGAAAAACCTTCAGCCAAACCTTATTAAAACGAAGGACTGATACAATTGTGTAAATAAAACAAACGAAGTAAAAGTACGTTTTATGATTTTTTTAGAGGAAAGCCTAGACACATTTACTTGATGTTAAAACACAAGTTCACGCATTTTAAACATTTTGGTCCGGTTATTTACAGGAAGTCTAACCCAAACCGCGGTTTTTCGCAATCAGTGGGCGTTAAATACGTATTCTATTAAAAAGGGTTGTTTTCATAAAATGTCCTTTTAGTGCTAGTTTTTTGCCCTCTTGACACTGTGCACAAAAATAAATGTTCAGATAAAAGATTCAGCTAAATTCAAGATAGCGGTTTTGTTAAACAACGGCTAAACTTTGTTTAAATAACTGGCCCTTTCTGTCTCCTTTTTCTTCTCTTTGAGATTTCTTCTCCATGGTTGTTGAGACCAAAAGTAGAACGGAAATGGTTGTTAAGGGTAAACTTCATCAAATGAAGAGCCCCCACCTCCACCCCTCCCTTACTTCCCTCTTATTCTAATTTAAAGTATCGTATCAATTAAAATGACCATGAATCTCATATAGTGAGATGTGAATGTTGTGACTGAGAGGTAAAGTTACGGAAGTCGTCATTGACTAATAGAATCAAGAATTAAAAAGGAAAGAATTTCAATTTCTGGGTTCGTGATTCGCACTGAGACCGTTAAATTCGAATCCGTGCAATTTCGACTTTTGCTTAATATGGTGTTATAAACGTTTTTCTGTAAGTTAATAACTATGTAGGAAAACTCTATCTTCTGGGAGCGACGGAACTTGTGATAGTGGGAGCTAATCTCCGTCAACTGCTGAACATCTCAACATCAAACTCAAATATGAAAAGGAACAATTTGGAGTGATTTATTGAAAACTTATGTAGGATGTATTATTTAGTAAAGCCAAATAAATTTTTAGAGAACTATAGACAAAGTTCCTTAATTATAATAATCACTCTCTAACATAGGCAAATAATTTAACAAATTCGCCTCTCCGCTTTTCTGCAAGAGATTTCGACTGACCACATTGCACAGTAATTTTCGCATTGTAACGTTCATTGACTCTTATTTTTCTCAGATTCGAATAGAAGCCCTGTGACTTTACGTATGCATGGTGCCAGTTACAACAGGAACAATGAAAGTCTTGTTTCGCCATACAAACCTTTGTGGCAACTTAAGTTGACTACCGATGTGATCATCTTTTGTATTTCCCTCCCGGGAAATACTGTGGTCGTTGCAGTTAAAACCATTTTGAGACAAAGCAACAACATCTTTCACAACAGGACAAAGGCTGCCTGTAATTATTTCTTAGTAAACATGGCCATCGCCGACTTGGTTGTAACGGTTTTTAGCATACCGGTTGAACTGATTACAGCAGAGGCTGGTCCTAAATGGTTGGTTTCTGGAATATTTGGCTTAATTCTCTCAATTTTTTCTGGTTTCAGGCCGTAAATATTTTAACAGGCAGCTTATCAGCCATTGCCGTTGATCGTTTCCTTCTGATGTTTCACCTTCGCAAGAAGATCATCACTCCACGCGCTGCAAAGCTTATCTTACCTTAATATGGCTGACTACGATTACCTTCACTTCGCCTCTCTTTGAAGTTTATCAAATCAAAACTGAAAATATTACAAAAATTTTCAACTCAGACTTCAACAGTCTTCCGTCCATTCAAGTGTATTTCATTTTCATTTTGTAGTTTTCGTAGCCACGCCCTTAGTAGTAATGGCCATTGGCATGAAACTTTGGTTTAAGAAACTTGGCATGAATCAAACAAGCCGATCAAATCAAAGGAATGAAATGATAAACAGAAGGGTATCTGTCATGTTGCGTGATTGCTTTGACATTTGAAATACGTTAGTTTCCTTTCTGGTTCGCCAGTGTTTATTGCTCTACTGCCAAGTCCACATCACTCTGTCATGGTTACCTTCTAAACTTTGTTGCAAAGTTCTCGAGTCTCTGTAACTCCGCGTTGAATCCGTGTATTTATTTCTCTTGCAGTGAAAGTTTTTGTCAGGGTGTCAAACAACTTCGGCAGAAAAGTCACAACTCGGTTCCTTGCAAAAGGGGCCAAGGTTTCACCAGCTATACGGTGAATAGGAATGACGCCTTGCAGACCGTAAACGTTAAGCGCTTTTCGACTTACTGTTGGGAAAACAAAGACCGAACTAACCAAAACGGGTAACTAGAACAAACAGATGCTTCTGGAAGGGCCAATGAGAACTCAAAATAAACAGATGAAGCCGGGTACAACCGCAACAAGATGTGTGTGTTACGACTGGTGCACGTATAAGCTCTATAACTGATTATTTAGGATAATGGCCCCAAATTTCTCGACCAATCAGATGAAAAAAAACAAAACTCATCTAAGCATTCCCTAATTGCTCAATATACCCAGATGAAAATTGCCATAAAAAATGTTCATACCAGACATTTACAAACCAAAGAGTCCAATAAGCCCAATCGTTACCTTCAGTTTGTGGTGAGTTTGGGGCGACTAAATTTAACTTAACTTTATACATAGCTCGGATTGGCTGGATATAGTTTATTCCTGTTTTCATAAACGTCTGCTTGTGCCAACACCAGTGAAGTCAAATTTCGTCCCTCAAGACTAGTCATTGAAATGTGACCGGAAAAAAAAATTGGGGCCTGGAGCTCGTTCTCTTCAATGCAAGCGATACTTTTAGCCTCTGACCGTTTAACCTTCAACGAACTGAGCAATGAAGCAAGAATTCTGTGACGCTTTCAAACTTGACAAAGCTTTAAAAAGATTACTATTAACTGTATTAATACCGCTGATCATAGCCTGTTTTTCAAAATTCAAATATCGATGTTTATTCAATTGTGGCCTAACTAATTTTAACCATTAATAACATTTGTACCCATTGTCTGGGCTGGAAAACCTGCACCGTTATATTGTGACGAAGTGACAAGGTTGGATATGAAGCTGACAAAAACACGTTCATATTCATAAAAGTTTGTACAAGTAAAAAGTACGATTTTCAAAAACTTTCTTAAAATACGGACTAAAATTCTTAACATCTGTTTTTATAGCTTTACAGAAACGTGGAACATTTGTTAAGTGCAATCCTTCCTCTGATTGGCCGCCCTCGATCATGTGACCATTATCCAAATCGAGTAGGTCGACAAGCCTGCAGCCCCGATCTTGTTGTGAAAGACAAATGCTGTTTTCTAAAATAATGTAGTCTGTGCCGTGTTGCCGAAGAATCTTGTATACTTCTTCGGGCGGTCGTCGGGCGTAAATTTGATAAACCTGAAATGAACAAAGCACGAGAAACAATGGTCCGTTTTTATGATTAATGACAGAGAAGCCAAAGGGAACTTTGAACTTCAGCTTAAGAGGACAGAAGAAGATAGAAAGCAAAATAACTGACTGTGTAAATGGTTGCTTGAAGTTAAATTACTTTTTTTTTGTCCTATTGGTCAAACCAGAAAGTTGAACAATTTTCAAGTCATACACGAGTGACATCGACCCTATTCTCGGCAACCACCCATTTCCCATCATTTCACTTTTAGGGCGCATTTCGATTGAGCGTCTTAACAAGGGAATTTACGACAAAGAGCCAATCGGAACTCAACTTAAAAAAAACCACACTGCCCAAAGCGCGGGAAAACGTAAGTGGCAAGTCGCAATTTATAGTTTTGAATCTGATTGGTAGAGAAAGTGGCGCGAGTTTTTTAGTCCAACAGAGCAAAATACAGTAAAACCAATGTGGTAACACATCACTTTCGACACTTAAATGAAGTGGCATTGTGATTTTTAGTATTTTACCCCTTGGGGTGACTGTGTTCTAATTTGTCCTTACAGTACTACCATTGGAGCAAATCTGAAGCTCAGGAGAATAAAAGATATGATCACCAATTTAAGTAGCCCCTGATTGTCACACAAATTCTCCATATCATTACTACAGAAAATTTAAAGAGAACAGTATGGAGAACATGAGTACTAATGTTAAGTGTAAAGGGATAAGGGACGTTCAAAAAGTGCATCCTCAGACGGAGTGCATCCTCGAAGGCGTGTCTTAAAACTAAAAGATTAAAATACAGGATCAGCTTGTACATTTAGCAAAAGATTACCTGCTTAGTTCTTTCTCTAAGGAACTTATTCTCGTAGTGCGGATGGTTTGTGATGTGTCGGTCTGTACAGAGCTTTACTCCGGCCAGTAACTGCATACTTCCCGTGAACGAAGCATCTGGAGGGGTGTTCTCACTAGAGACACGTAATTATTTGTTAGTACAATCAAAATCTCGCAAGATTATTCTCATTAGTAAGAGTTCTGTAATTGACGTCAAGTCAGTTTTGGGAACGTAGAACCACATTGCGACAGTTCTTCTTGCTTAAATCCGTTTATTGAAGGTCGACGTGATAATCTGGTAAGTATTCC